AAAAAAAAAGAGTTGGAGGTTGCTGTAAACTATGATGCCCCAGCACTCTACCCAGAGCGACAGCTTGAGACTCTTGTCTCAAAAAAAAGCAAGACCCTGTCTCTAATAAAAATAGAAAAAAATTAGCTGGCCGTTGTGGCACTCACCTGTAGTCCCAGCTACTTGGGAGGCTGAGGCAGGAAGATAGCTTAAGCCCAGGAGTTTGAAGTTGTTATGAGCGAGGCTGATGTGTCATGGCACACTAGCCTGGACATGTACAATATAAAGGCAACAATAAAGTAAATACAAAATATGATACAAAGGAGGGAACAATTGATTTAGAAGATAAAAAGGAAGGCTAGAACAGTTAGCACCTGGGCTAACTTTTGAAAGACGTCTAAATTCTTTTATTAGCTTTCTAAATATTCTCCTAGTTCAGTCATTCCTCTATGGTTTCACTGTGCCATTTCCTGCTACAAAAACTAAGGCCTCCTCTCTATCACCAACCAAAAAAGCAAAAGTTTCATGCATATAAAAAAACCCACATCTGCCCTCTGCTTATCCTTTCAATTTTATGTACTACTGGCTCATCAGATTGCCCTCAGACCGTATCACTCAGTCAACAGTTATTTAGCTAAGCACCTACTGCGTACTGGAATCAATTACAGTCAAATCTAAAAACATTTAAATCTCATTTATTTTCTACCTCTTGGCTATATATTACTTTCTCCTGAAAACTTCACTTCCTTTATCTTCAATAGTCCATTAACCTGACTCTCTTACTCCTTAACTGACTTTCAATTTCCACAAAGAAGTTGAGCCTTCACTTCTTAATTTACTTTCTTTGCTATCACTTGTATGCGGACATTGTTGATCTAATCCCAGTCCTGATTCTCTAACCTAGATTCAGTTCCGTATTGTTCTAACTTAACTACATAGGAGTTAAACTTAGGATACTCTATGCAACCTTAAATTCATCATGCCCAAAGCCATAACCACCCATCCAACTTCTAAAATATTACAATTA